CAAGACCGTCTTAAGTAATGTCTTAAGATGTGAATACAGCTCTGTGATTTGTTCATGACATCTTAAAACAGTACTTAAGATGATCTTAAATATAAGATTGGACTATGAATACCGGCCTTAGATATTGTTTTATAGATATGTATCAAACTCAGTATATGCATGTTTTTCGATCACTGATGACGAATACAAAGTCAAAATTACAAAATTCAAAATGGCGGATCCAACATGGCAGACCTAATATGATTGCTTCTAGTAACTGAACAGTATATATTTTCATTCCATACCCATATAGCACAGAAGCTTGCAGCAACATTGCTACAACGTTGTAAGATTGCATATTGCCGTGCAATGTTGCAGAGACATTAATTTGCAATCCCATATAGCACAGCAACGTTGCAGCAATATTGCAGCATCATTGATTTGCAATATTATGACATTGCAACAACGTTACAAAATGTTACTGCAATGCTATTGCAACGTTGCAGCAACAGTAAAATGTACGCTTGCGGCAATATAACAACGTAATTGTGCAGCAACATTGCAATGCAATATATATGTAATATTATTAATGTTTTATTATACAAAGTAAAATCCCAGATAACACCCTTTACAGGAATATCATACTAAAAAATTATTAGTAATTATGTATTATCAGTAATTCAGTAATTTTTTCGTCAGTATTTCATTTCTGGTGAATACTGATAATAAAATCACTATTAAATATTGATAGTAATCAAATACTGAGAATTATTGTGCGAATGTGAAAAATGAGAAAATCGTAATATTAAAAAAAATATATTTATAATTTCTAATTTTCTTATGTTTTATAAACCAGTAAACTTTCGTGAATTATCCCCTCGATTATTTCGATTCTAAGCGGTATATCACCGGTCACCATCCATGTTCTAACTCCGTTAAAGTATTGCTTAACCTGACGATCGAGCAGCACGCGGCGATTCCCAATGATTCTAACTTATATTCTTACGATTTACGCTTATATAATGTAACCATATACTGTTCACAATATATTATAACATATCTAGCAAACACCAAATAATAGTTATATAACTTTTACTTGGTGTTCGTTGGATAATTTACTGATACAAAACAATGCAACAACATTCGATATGCGATGAATATTGATGTAATGTAGTGAACCAGTAATAATTATTTTTAGATTTTTAACAGAACGTTATAATGATTAATCCAAACCAAAAAAATAAAAAATCCAAGAAAATTCAAATTAAACAAACCAAATTACTAAATTTTGAAAGAAACTTTTAAAAAATACTATTTAAAACAATAATATTGTTTCATCAAATGACATGGTTTCCTTAAACGAAATAAAAGTTTTTATTTTCATCATTTTAAAAACTGATATTTTGTTTAAGAATATAATATTTTAATGAAACAAAAAAAACCACAAAATTAAACAAGTACGAATATTAAATCTAAAGAAGATATTTTCTCCGAAAAAACGATATAAGAAGTATAAGAAATATATAATAAGACAAATTCTAGTATTAATGACTGCCACTAACAAGTACTATTCTAAGTACTATTCTATAAGCACTGTTGATGTGGAATATTACTGAATTTAAAATACAACCCTTATAGAAATATCATACTAAGAATCATTGATAATTACTTATTTTCAGTATTAAAAATACTGAATAATAAGTAATTATCAATGATTCTTAGTATGATATTTCTATAAGGGAAGTAACAAAAATAACTAATAAATAAGTAAAAAATATTGTATTATATTCGTCATATTTTTGAAATAGTGTTGCAATATTGCTAAAGTAATATTGCAAATTAATGTCACTGCAACATTGCACTGCAATATGCATTCTTGCAATAACAATATTCCCTTTAAGGAACGTCTACATTGGAAGTAAATAGCAAGAAATAGGAAGTAAGAGTAAGAAATTGACCAACCACAGTCGAATGTGAGAAGAATAATTAACTATGATTGGTCAATTTCTTATTCTTACTTCCTACTTCTTACTGTTTACTTCCAATGTAGACGTCCCTTTACTGTTACGAAAAGAGTGTGTGGCCAGCTTTAAGTAATGTCTTAAGATGCGAATACTGCTCTGTGATTGGTTTATGACATCTTAAGACAGTAGTTAAGATGATCTTAAATATAAGATCGGACTATGAATACCAGACTATCTGTTTCTTGGAGGTAAATCCATACGCCACCTGGTGCCAGGTTGATATGATCGAAAAAGAACCAGGAATATTGAAATATTAGACATTAACGATCGTGCCTGACGATATTTCCACAGCAGCGCTTGAAATCTATATTTACACGATTTTTTAATATTTAATTAAAATTATCTGGATGACTCACAAACCTTTTTAATGATATTTCATAACTCTTCATACTAAATACAAACGATACTATATCGGAACTTTGTTTAATTTACCTCCGGTCATTATTTCGGCTAAATGCATAGTCCAAAAATGAACAATTAATTACAATTAATAGAACGACTCACAAATCTTTTTAATTATACTTCAAAACTCTTCATACGAAATACAAACAATTTAAAAGAGTAGTTTTTCAACCGGCGATTTTTTTCGGTCAAGTACATACGAATTGTTCGAGTGGCTTTGGGTTAATCGGGGTGTATATCAGTTGGACACGAGGCAATTGGACATAGTCCAATCACAAGTCGCTGTTCCAAGGGACCCTACAAATGTCTCTAATCATACAGTGCTGTGATTGGCTGTGTCCAAATGCACCGTGTCCAAGTGCACCACTCCCGGTTAATCGACTCTGGACTATGATCAATCATAGTTTAATTATAGAAGAATAAACTATTGTAATTAGAGAACCTATAATCAGAGAGTCGTCAACTCGTCACGTGACCGGCTGCGCGCTGATTGGCTCAGCGCGTGGAGCTCCATGATTCTGAGAGAAAATTAAAGTGACAGTGACAGGAAAGACGCAAGGATAAAATAAGTAAGGATTTTAAAGCGGTATTGTATTTTTTTTCGTTTGGTAAATGTTTACATGAGTTATATCCTTAATCCTTGCTTCCTTTCTGTCACTGTCACTCCAACCTTTCTCTCAGGATCATGGAACTCCACGCGCCCTGAGCCAATCAGCGTGCAACCTGTGACGAGTCACGTGTCAAAGGCTCGCGTCGCATGCCCCAACGTGCTCTTACTCGCTTCAACGCACTCTGATTAGTCACGTCACCATGCGGGCCAATCAGAGTGCGTTGGAGCGAGTAGGAGCACGTTGGGGTATGCGATGCGAACGAACCTCTAGAAAGTCGTCAACTCGGGGTGGGACCGATTGACCACGATACAATTGGACACAGATTGTAATGATTGGTTCGACCTAGTAATTCACTAGATAATTCTTTTCATCGGTTGGTTGTGTCTAATCGTACCGTGGTCAATCGGGACGCTCCCGTCAACTCGTCATGTGACTCGTCACAGACTACGTGCAACATTGTTTCACTTTAAAGAGGGGTCTACAATAGAAATCGTAGGCCGGTATTCATAGGCTTGGTTTACATAGTGCACTTAATATGCGTATTAAATAATAACTTTCTATTAGATAATCTTAATATCGACGATGTATATAAATAACGATGTATATATTAAGCTGATATAATACTGATCAAGAAGACTTATTGTATCGATTGAATGCGTCATCGTTGATATGCATTGTCAATATTAAGATTATTTAATAGAAAGTTACTATATAGTACGCGTATCAAGTGCACGATGTAAACCAAACCATAGTCAGATCTTATACTTAAGACCGCTTAAATAGAGCGCAATCCATTAGACCATACAAACGCTTTAAAACGCAGTATAGACCAATCATGACTTCTTTTTAAGCGCTTCAAAGCATTTGCAGCGTCTAATGGTTTGCACCCGTAATGTATTAAGATGCGAAGGGAGCGTTTCGATTGACTACGATACGATTGGACACCACCAATCTGTACAAAGAATTATTTAATGAATTACCAGATCGAACCAATTATTATAATCCATGTCCAATCGTACCGTGATCAATCGGGTTCCACCCGTCAAAATCTAAAGCCCATTCTACAATTGCGTGAACGTGGTTGTAAGTGGTTGTAAGTGATTACGACAACCAATCAGAGTAAAGCAATCAGTAAATAAAACATTCGGATTGGTTGACTCTTACGTTCACGACTACGCTTACGCAATTGTAGAATGGGCTTAAGGTTTGTTCGCGTCGCATGTCTCAACGTGCTTCTATTTGTTCCAACGCACTCTGATTGGTCACGTCACCACGCGGACCAATCAGAGTGCGTTGGAGCGAGTAAAAGCACGTTGGGGCATGCGACGCAAACAAACTTCTAATCTTCAATCCGCAATTCTCAATCTTCAATGAGTAGTTTGATTCCAGCTTTACAGCATACATAAACATGGCTTTAGCCATGGTGGAAATATACAAGGTGAAACGTTCTGCTAAATGCGCAGTAGCGCATCAGAAAGTTGCCCAAAAGTGGAAACTAAATGGCTATCTTCATCAGACGTCACGTTAGGGTGCGTTCAGATTAATATATTTTTAGGCAACTTTCTGATTAGTTCTTCTCCCATCTCCATGATGCGTAACACAACATCTTAAGTCAGTGGTACACGGTGCTTGTTTTCGTGTTGATTGCTTGCTGGATGAAAATATTCTGTTCTGGGTCTATATTCTTGAAATTTTTGCATATATGTAATTTTCGTTGCGCAGCTATTTTATGGTATAATTAAACTGCGTAGTAAAACTTACGTATACGCAACTATTTCAAGAATAAGGGCCCTGATTGATGCATTTCTGAAGATGGATAAAAATGCATCAATCAAAACAGAGTATTTCCACCTAGCAAGCAATTCAGCACGAAAACAAGCACCGTGTGCCGCTGGACAAAAATTATATTAAATTGATCGATTCTGTTAAAAAAAGTATCGATTCCAAAAAAGAATCTAGTATTTCAAAAGATCGATTATTTGCGAATCGATTACGAAAAATATAATCGATTCTCATATAATCGATTCAGAATCGGGCATCTCCTGCGCTCATTGTGTATAAGACTTTACATCGCGTGTTGCAGACGAAGCTGTAAATACTCTTCTTTCTTTCGGCAAACGACAGTTATAGCAAGATGGTAAGTTTCATGTGCAATCTACCGAAATCCGTGTTTTTTTAGCGGAATCCTACACAATAATCATCGAATATTTCATTAAAATAATAATATTATTAGTGAAAAATTTGCTATAAAGAGTATTTTAACGTTTCTGTTTGGAGAAACTACAAAACAAATTTATGGTTAAATGTGTCCAGTTACATCTTTCAATATCTTCGATCATTGAACAATAACAGTTAATTTAGTTCACCCAATATATTTTTTTATTTGTTGTAATTCATGCTACATACCTTATGTGTTTGGTTCAGCATATTCATGATTAATTCAAGTTCGAATGATTCACGGAATGTTTTGAATTACGTAGAGGTTATGTTTGTTTAAAGTTTACATCGCATGAAAGATTAATGATACACTTGTATTTTTCAGTCTCTCGTTATTCCTGAAAAGTTTCAGCACATTCTTCGTGTCATGGGCACGAACATCGACGGTAATAGAAAAGTCATGTTCGCCATGACTGCAATTAAGGGTGTTGGTCGGCGTTACGCCAACATAGTCTTGAAGAAGGCTGATATCGACTTGGATAAGCGTGCTGGAGAATGCTCAGAGGAAGAGGTAGTTTCAATGATTTGTATATATTTTTTATGTATTTTTTTTATTTATTTTCACATTCGTATGATGTGTGTTTAATATATTAAAAATATTTCAGGTTGAAAAAATTGTAACCATAATGGCCAATCCAAGGCAATATAAAATACCTGATTGGTTTTTAAATAGACAGAAAGATATTGTGGATGGAAAATATTCACAGGTATGTATATAAGCTATTTATGATAAAAGAACAAGGAAAATTCTTAAGAATCACATATACTTCATCATTGAAAAATATAACACAATATATATTTAGTAAAACATATTTTTAACACTTGTAACAAGAATTATGACTATATTGGAATTCAAATTTGTGAAAATATTCTGCAACAATTATACTATATATACAGGATGTCTGATACAAGTCATATAAAATGTGTAAAGATAAAGCGTGTCAACCTTAGCACGAGAATTCCCTTTTGTAAACTATGCAAAATTTCAAGTTATTAATGAAAAAAGAATGGAAAACTGGAGTGTGCATATTGTAGAATGGGGTCTATAAGCGCAAGATCTTATATTGGGATAAACAATCATCAAACAGTGAACACTTCTTGAAATATTTTACATTTTATCCTGATACTTGTTAGTACAAAATATGTGTGAAATATTTCCTTTACTTTTTGATAACCTTATTTTAATAATTTTGTGTAAAATGACGGGTAAAAACGATTGTTGCAAAAACATATAGAAATTTTAAACAGAATTGTGTACATTTTACAGATTTATTAATACACCAGTGTGCAAAGATCAGTATCATCGATTGATTTCTCTCATCATTCTATGTACAAAAGTATCGACGTGAGTCAAAAAGTAGATAGTTTATGAGATATTTCATATCTTGTATGGAAATGTATCAGGGTAAAATGTAAAATATCTTGGAAAATATTTTCTTTTGATGATTTTATCTAATATTGTAATACACAGAATAAACAGAGGAATCAATTCACATTTAAAAAATTAAAATTGACTTAGGAGGGAGAAGGGATTTTTCGGAATTGTAAAATCAAATAAATATTACTATTCTTTTTCCCTCTTCAAAATCTTACAATATTTGTCTAAAAAGTTTTCTTCTAAAACTTATTGATTTTTAGATATTTCAGTGTGAAAATAAATGAATATTAGACACCTTGTATATATGTATATTTCTTTGACAATTAATAGTTTTCGTTTTGTGTCTTGCGAGTTATAAATCGCACAATTCACGACTGATCGTGCAAATCTCCATTGCACGTTCAGCTGGTAGCTTGTGCAATAGCAATTGCACCGCTGTACAATTAAAGTTGCTTTGTGTAATATATTTTATTGCTCTAAGCGAAACGTACGCGTGCAACAAAAATTATTTACAAAGGATAAAAATTACGAAACATCGCGGAATATATCTCTAACGCGCGTGTGACTTATTTGTAGCTCACGAGTGCCAATTTGGACTCGAAATTACGTGAAGATTTGGAAAGGATGAAGAAGATTCGTGCTCACAGGGGCCTACGTCACTACTGGGGTCTCCGAGTACGTGGTCAACACACGAAGACCACTGGTCGTCGCGGACGCACGGTTGGTGTGTCGAAGAAAAAATAATTTAACAAATTTATAATTAATTTTATATATTAAATATCAGTATATATTGTTTCTCTAGATACATTATACTGATTAATCAATAAAATCTAAAAAACTTTAAGTTCCGTTGTATTTCTTCGAATATAAGTTGATATTAAAAGAGAAAAAGCTGAGATCACGAGATTTACAGTATGACAACATTAAGAAAGAAGAAAATCGAGAATACTCATTGCGATATGTTAAGTGTGCATAAGAGAGTAATTTATTTCAGTTGAAATATATGATGATCTTTTGGTCCTGAAGTGATGAAGTAAGCATTTCTCAAGTCTAACTATAAGATCATCTTTGTTTCAACTGACTTGAGAATGTGACATAAGCAGTGGTGCTAAGTTTGCAATGTGCTAAAAATGCAATTGACAATAGATAATAATAAATTTTCTTCTAAACGTTTCAACGACGTATAATAAGCGTCTCCAAAAATACTTTGGGCACCTTTCCTCGTTGATTGCCTCTGATTCCCATAAAGTAATCTTCATCATCGGAAATTTCGTAAATACCGATTACCTAAAAAAGATATCGCGTAAAGTACATTCAGTTGACGGTACGTATTGCAGTACATACGTCGTACATTCTATAATCACAGTACATTGTATTAATTATATATACAAGCAGGGTTGGGTAAGTTAATATATTACTTAGCTAAGTTAAAATTAAAGATAATGCCTTATAAAATTAATTTGATTAAGTTAAAAGTTACGTAAGCAAAAACTGAATTAAAAGTTAAGTTAAAATCGAATTAAGGTATTAAAAGTTAATTATGTAAAGTAACATATATTTCTTGTATAAACAACTTTTTAAGGCTCCTGGTCCCTCACATTGTCTTTTTTTTTTTAATAACGTCAGAAGCGAAAAAATGCATGCTAAAAATTCTTGCAAAAAATACGTTAAAATGAAAATGTATATCCATGAAGTAACAATCGATTAAAAAAATTTGTAAGACATTCCGTGCACTCCCCTTTTGCTCTAACAATCAATTTGTCGTGAATTATTATAACGTGACATACAATTCATCTTCTTAACCTGTTTCTTCGTTTATTTCTATTCAGGTTAATTTACAATAAATTATTGATTGTTAGAGCAAAAGAGGAGTGCACGGAATATCTTACAAATTTATTTAATCGATTGCAAGTGTTACTTTATGTATATATATTTTTATTTCAACGTATTTCGCAAGAATTTTTAACATGCAATTTATCGATTCTGACGTTATTAAAAAGAAGTAGACAATGCAAGGAGCCAGGAGTTTTAATCATGGGTTATATTTATGTGAAATAAGTATTTATAAAAAAAATATCCGACTGTTTTAACGAAACTAAACAATATTCGACTGTTTCAACAAAACATGCTAAAGATTCCATACAAAAAATAAACACTAGTACTAAGAGACGAAAAAATTCTGCTGGCGTTATTTTTTGTTTTTCTTATCCTACATTGTAAGCAGCGCACAATGATCTTAATATTGATAAAGTATTTAAATTTATATAAAAAAAATTAATAAGTTAAAATTAGTGCATTAAAGAACAACTCTAAATTAAAAACTCACTCGCGCTTAAAATTAAATTCAATTAAAAATTTAACTTTTTAATATACTCTCTAACGTAACTTTTAACTTAATAACTAGTTATCATCCAACCCTGCATACAAGGCACATATAATAAAAATACATGATGCCGATAAATATACACATCGAGTAAAATGTACAGATGAAAAATACACAAAGAATACAGTGGTTGCGATGACACGGTGTGAATAAATCAAATGCTATTTAACAAAGTAAAACGGTAGATGTTTATTGTTGATAATACATGCACAACTCGAATAAATATACACATATAATAATTTGTTTCGCGCACAAGTACGTTTGTGTAATTCAATCTTTCGTATAAAATCTATAGAGGAGAAGAATCGTATTGTTGTGTTATTTTACAAATCAATAGATGTAGAAGGAAGTATGTAATACCATGATAGGCAACACATTAACGACTACAACGTATAAGAAGGCTGATGCACATAAATCCTTTCGATATACAAGTTAATAATTAACGTCTATCATGCACACAATAGTACGGTATAGAGGTGAATATAACTGCTAATTTCGCGGAAATAAATCGATCTCTTCTCGGCCATATTAATCTTTTCTCGAGTGGATTTCACCAAACACATCTTTCGGACATCTTTTGCGCGTTTTGTAACTCCCGAGAAAGAAATCATTCCTTTGAAAGATCGTAATATTCATTAATCCTCAATGGCTCACTGAACATCTTACTAATATTGCTGTATCTTGTTAATATTGCTGTCATCGTTATTACTATTTTTGTTTCTATTACCCCAAGCGTGTTCCTTTAAAAAATATTTCTTTCTAATTGTAAAAGCGATTAGTCCTTGTTATCTCTTTGTAATATAACTAATGCATTGCACGAATATCACAATTTTCATATTTTTCGGTATGTCCCATCGTGATCAATAATCTAGATATGTAACAATAATATGTAACTAGATATGTAACTAGATATATAACAATACAAGTAGACGAATGCAATTTTTTCCTCGAAGTGAATAAATCTTTATCTAGAATATATAGTATCTCTCGATTTAACAATGTATTAGCTGCTTGCGGATAAATGCACCAGTACAATATTGTTAGTATCAACAGAGAGAAAGAGAGAAAAAGAGAGAGAGAGCTCTTCGAAGACTCGCAAATACAAGAACGTCTCGATTCAAAATAAGTTCTTATATCTAATATGTCAAGAACTTCAACATCCTTCGACCAAATATTTTGATTCTCTTTTGACGGATGGACGAGAAAAATTCGGACACTGAATTTCTATGGAAAAGACGAGAACGCAGTCCCGAACGCAGATTTAAACTTAAAACGAACCTTACGCAACGGTTTGACAAAATACAAGACGAAATACAAAGGGAAACTTTTGAAGTATACATACGGAGAAAGTTCGAATAAAAAAAATAATAATAAAAAAAGATCTACAAACTAAACACGTTCCAGTGGGATCTTGCGACTTACTTTCGTTTGCGATTTTCATGCCTTTCGTTTCGCATCGCATCGTAAACATGCTGCCGTGCGCTTCGCACCTAAATTACAAATTTCGTTACCTCGTCCTGCACGACGCTTAACTCGCTAGGATCCCTCGCGTCGTAATTGCATAACACTCTTGCTCGGTCCTGATCGTTCTCTGCTAGTGCATTGGTGGAGGCTGGTGGGGTGGTGTAATAAGGACCTCCAGGTAGGCTGGGTAGGATAAATGATAAGTTTGGATGAATAATAATCTTGAAGTAAATGAATTCATATACGGGGCAAAAAAGATAAGTAATAGTGATAGTAGTAATGGTGGTGGTGGTGATGGTAAGTGGTAGTGGTAACTACTGATACATAATCGCAAATTAGATAATGTAAATGGAAACCGTACATTATCAACGAGTAATATCACTTCGCATTTAATCGAGCCTCCGTCTCGTTTTGATGTAAAACTTAGACGTTTAACCTTATACAATCTATACGTAAAATCAGACAACGCGAACTTCAACCAAAATACGTGATATATATATTTTTTTATAAGACATACGTTTATACACACAGAAAAATACTGCATTAAATTTTACTTGACTCAAATATTTCATAAGTTTATAACTATAAATCTATCATAAGTTTATCATAAGCATCAAATTTATTCAAAGTACATTCTGAGTTCTAGTAACTTTTTAACATTTCAATCAAGAATATTGAATTCTAAGACAAAACTTTGGTTTGATAATTATTACATACCTAGTAAACGCCAATTATATCAATGTTACAATTCCTCACTCAACAATGTGAATATAATACGTATGTTATGTAACAGTTACATAGTTGAGTAGGAAATTGTAACATTGACGTAATATTACAATTACTAAAAAAAAAAACTATTAACGTTTGCTGGGTAAAATCAAGCCAACTTCTTTTTTTTTTATGAAGTTTTATAGCGCTCTTGTATAAAAAGAAATAAATATATTTGAAGATAATTATTAAGAAAATCCTTATTAAAGAGAAGCATTACTTAAAATAATGCAAATAAACTAAGTTATCACTTATAATCTCTTCGCTGTCAGACGAAAAAGAATCTTTTGTATCAGAAATATATTTAAAAAAAAAAGTTTTCAAAACTGCATGAAGATTTTGGTACACAGACGTCGTTGAATCTGATATTATCTGAATCTTATATTTTTAAAACTCAAAGTGACGAATCCAATTTGAAAATTTACTTGAAAAGAATCCGATTGGTATAATAATTTGTTTGATATTCAAAACTATTAACAAAAGTAATAAAAAAGTATAAAACTAAAAAAGAAAGTTCAGAAAGAAAAATATTTAAAAGAACTAAAAATAAATAAAATTTTTTGAAAATATGTAAAATACAAAAAAAATTGAAAATATGTAAAATACAAAAAAATTAAAAATACAAAAAATACAAAAAAAAATACATAAAGACGAATTTTCAAATTATAGTATTAGATTCAGATTCAGTGACCTCAAAAACCCTTTGATACTCAAGCACAATCCAATCATGATGACATAAATATTTTTTTCGAAAATACGTATATGTGCGTCATGAAACAAAAGTGGCACGACTTTTTTTCGTGCATATATGTATCATTAACAGTGAAAGAGTTACTCTTAAAATCCATTCTTAACATGTGATGAAAACGAAAAAAAAATTTACATGTAAAATCTTAAGCTATCAGTAATATTTACATGTAAAATCTTAAGCTGTCAGTATAATATTTACTTAATCCAAAAGTTCCATAGCTTGTACATACCTAAAGAGTGTGGATGTTCCAAACAGAAAAATATTTTGAAGGACATTGTTGTACTTTCGCACCTGAATTCAGGAGCTTAAGAATGTCCGAAAAAGTTTACAGAAATATTTCTACACATGCGTAATTAGATTTTCCGTTGAATATGATAAAACAAAACAACACACATTTACGTAAGTTCTATATGTATATATACAAGAAATACGAGAAGATAACGTGATTGTATTTAGTAACGATCGTTTTTGTGTTATCGACATTGTTCGAGTTCGTCATCATTCAGCATCCCTTTAACATTAGAATGATATTTTTCTGTGTGTACGTGTTATATAGAGATAGTTTGTATCGATCTATAAATACGTTATATTTACAGCTAAATACGTCAAACACGTTTACATTTCACGATCGAGCATATTGTCACTCTCGAGAAGATGAACACACCAGCAAATTTTTTTTGTTTAATCGTATTTGACAACGAGCAAGACAGTAACAGTTTAATTCGGGCTAGTATGCATGCAATTTAAAGAGAATCAGCTTTCGCGTGTCTCGCAATAGAAATATCGTTTTGTAAGAAAAAAAAAAGGAAAAATTAGTTTGTTTCAGCAAGAGAGTGTGTGCTTTCGGCTCTATTGAGACTGTGTGCATGCATTACTTTTTACGTATTAATTTACTTCCAATACACCTGTTGCACGACAAATTGGGAACTTAATTCTTCCTCCACCGTATAATACAACCATATTAAAAACAACACAATTAATATAAAAACAAGAAAAGCGTGATACGTATCTATACATACTACATCTCTGTTCAGTTGCATGGCGCTAGGGGACGCCGGGAATTAGTTTCTGCTATGATCATTAGCCGCCGAATTACGGCGATCCGAGGCAATTATTCTCGAAGGACGATACGCGAGCGACAAAGTGGCGAAGAAGAAACAAGAGATAAAATTTTGAACCGCGCACCGATCGCCGTAAATCGTTCACAAGAAAGAGTTTCATCGAGAGAAATTCCTTATATTCGCTCTATTTGCATAAGTATGTACAAGTTACGCTATATATTCCATATTAAACACGACCGTTAGGTAACAAGTTTGCAACAACTAAGTGCGATTAAGTTGAACTAAACTCTATTTAACGCGTATCGTAGAGTAAATCAATTGATCCTCGCTACTCGAAGAAAGAAGAAGGAACGGCGTTTCGTTCATTTTGAGTGATGATGGACGCTGGTAAGCCCGTCACAATTGAATTGCTAACTAAGATTTGGAGAGAATCATCGATGTAGATTCCGCCGTCACCAAACGGGACGAGGCCGTCTAATCGAGCTAGACTTTACTGATATCAGTGTCGAATGTGGCAGTAACGTAAGTAGTGGAACCGGCGGCGGTTATTGGTGAGCTTTGAGGGTAGACGGATGAGTTTGCGGGGAGCGTGGGCGAGGGTGTCAGCTCGATCACTTCTTCGCTGTTGACTCTCAGCAAAGGGCTCGGTTGACGCGTTCTGCAATCCCAACCGTGCAAGCGAGAAATAGAGAGAGTGTAGCAAGGGAGAAAGAGAGGGAGAGAGAGTCCGCGAATCGAATCGCGGACGCAGTCGATAGCGAGGGAACGATTGGGTATAGCAAAAACGAATTTACATTTCTATTGCTACTGTAATCATTACAAAGCGTGAATGTGTATGTGTGTGTGTAGGATAAACTGATCACGGAAGCGATTAGGTCGTGTTGGCATCAGATCTGGTGTGATTTCTCAGCTGATTGCTGCTCCGGTTTCATCACACAGCCGGTTGTTCCTTGAACTTAGGTTTAACTTAACTGACCATCGGCTACGCAGTTAAACAGAGTTTAGGGTTTACCGACATCAATGAAACCGGCCGTAACAGGTAATGTTCGTCAAACCAAACGTTCCGTTTTCGACGAGAGAAGGAGAAAGAGAGAGAAAAATATTTAGGTCACCTAAAGGCGTTATCGCGACGCATAATCGATCGCCTTTCTTTCGTCCAAATCTATGCCCGCGGATGCTCTAGGGAAAAGCGGAACGCGCAGATCGATATCTAAATAACACAGTCATTACCATTCAAGGTTTGTCAAACATTACTCACTCGGATCACCATAAAGTGGGATAGCTGTACAAGAAATGTCGCAATAACACACACTGCGAGGACACGTGAGTGCGGAATAGATAGATAGATAGATATATAGATAGATAAATAAATAGATGATACTTTGCTAGAAAAAAAAGAGAGAAAACAGAAAACAAATCCAACAAGACATGAACTTACCCGGCAAGCTCGCGCTGCAAATCCTGCATGACTGCGTGACACTGAGCGTAGTGGCGGGCTTGCGCTTCCACGAACTCGTGCAGACATCGCAAATGTCCGGCTTGTGAACTCGAGACACCCTCCAACAGTAACTTCACAATCTCTGCTTGCCGATCGAATTCCGACTGAGCTACCCTCAACTCCCTCTCTGCCTGAGTAAGCAATACATACATTTTATTTCTTGTTTCCTTCGATATTCGTCTTTCTAGAGTAACATTCGGAACTCCGAAACGCATATATAACCGCGAAACCGTTACTGTTTCTGGTATTGATTTTCTGGAAACGAAAATATCGCTAACTAAAAACTGTAGCAAAGAAACTCTATTATTAGATATCGTCGGATGCAGTATGAATGTTCCATAACTTCGCGCGTTTAATGACTGTTATTATTATATTATTGCATCATATATGTTAGATGATACAGAGGATGATACCTCGCTGTGGTATACATGCATATATAAGGTTTGTTCTTTGTAGCTGCACTGTTGAAACAAGTAGAGTGAAAAAAGTATACTTATCTTACTCTTATTGCTTAACTTAACTTATTGCACCAGTTCCACAGTGCAACTACAAAAAACAGACTAATATATTACCTAAAACAAAATAAAAATATTTGTCCAATGTTGCAGCTGCAGTAAGATATTGAGACTACTTGAAATAGAAAGAGAAATGTTGACGAATATCTGTAAAATTTAGTATTAATTTGGAAATGAGAAAACTGTCGATATCCTTATGAAATGTACGGAGTTTCCTGAATTTTTGATATGAAAAATATATAGCCCCCAGGAGAAACCAAGTCTGAGAAGCGACCAAAACTGTCGATTGCATTAATATACCTGATCAAGCAACACTTCGGGTGGTACGCCAGACTCCTATCGATTGCAGCAGTATGGAGGACAAAACACATCGTAAACATAGAGAACACATTTTCTCAAGCAAAATCAACGATAACACGGTACTTACACTTTGTTGACCCAGCAAGCTTCTCGCTTTTCTCACTTTGTTTTTACATGCATCCAAGTCCAGTCTGTGAAAATTGTTTGATATCAGTAACAGCATTTCTCGAATTGCTCAGTAATATTTTTAGCAAATGAGATGATACAATTTCGTTACCTCTTAGTTTCCAATATCGCCATCTCCTTGCTAACAGTCTTCATCTCTCCATCCAAGAACTTTCTCAAAGGCTGTATGTAACAATTGGCAGCAATCCCTATAAAATCTCTCTCAACTTGTCCCAGCTTCTGCTGACATTGGCCAACTTTTATTAATGCGCTACCTAAAGTAATGAGAGAGACTCTTTATTTAAAGTTCTTATTTGTCATATCATAGTTCTCTGTACTAACCATAAGCTACCCCTGGTCCAAACTCATTCCCAGCTTGTATCATATCAATGCCTACATATTCCAAATTGCTCAACCTGTTAGGTTTCTTTTTATCGATCTTTTCATAGAAGAAATCTTCAATTCTATTGCCTATAACATACAATTAATAATGATTATATATACAGAGTCCCTAAAATCACTATTTGGTAAAATAAAGTGAATTTTAAAGTGATGGTATAAAATTACACACATATTTATATACAAATTAAAATGGTATAAAATTACACACATATTTATATACAAAATAGCCTTCAGTCTTGAACTATATAGTTTTCTAATTTAACAGCATTAGGTTTGTTTCATCTAAAGCTTCATTAAGTTTTGAATGTTTACAGAAAAAAAAATTGAAAATGTATATATAACATCTTGGAAATTGTATTAGGAAGTCAGTTTCAAAAATAAAATGCTCATAAATTGTTTTGCAATGCAGCCAACCAGTTTGAGATTTGTAGTGACAGTGATGATGCATATATAAGATAAAAATAAAATGCTCATAAATTGTTTTGCAATGCAGCCAACCAGTTTGAGATTTGTAGTGACAGTGATGATGCATATGTAATACCAAAAAATACAAAGAAGAAATATAAATAAATATAAGAATGTGATATTAAGAATATAAATATCAACGTAATATGCTATGAAATCAAATAATGATACGTTTCCTTTTCCCTACGATATATACAAATATGTATATAATCTTGAAGTAAACCATTACTTTGAAGTTTACTTCACCAAATAGATAGTGACTTTAGGGACACTGTACATATATATTCAATGAATCCATACCAGGATTTGGGGTGAGCACAGCTTCCATGTTCCGCAGTATTTTCTCTGTCCATGTTTTGGTGACATTTCCCCTCTCCACTAGATGTTCTAAGTGTGCATCCAACTCTGTTTTTTCCGAAGTGCCCAGCGTTTCTTCCGTTAACTAGAAACGTACAACAACGTTAGGATCGGTCATTGATTTGTCGTATTATCCGACAAGTATGATCAATTCGCTCGGCAGTTTGTGAATAAGCGCACGCAGCGCACAATATCTATGAGAAAACTCGCGCGAGCGAGGTCCCTCACGTTAGGCATGACTCATTTTTACGTGATTGTACAACACAAGGAACGACAAGTCGGTGACGTTACTCACCGAAATGAGATTAAAAGTTTAGGTTAAGCGCAATTACGTTGCTGCGAATGAACCTGGGAGTTTAGTGAGTCCGACAAATAATATAATCGAGCACAAGGGAGAGAAAAAGAGACAGGAGTGCTGTGAGAAATCGCGCGAAGCCCGTTCGACGACGGGCGTAACGGTCACTTCGATTCGGGGTGTCGATTGTCAACGGTGACAGGCAATCGGGATCCAGGATCCCAGATGTGTGCGTGCGAGTGTACGTTCATCCGCATTGCTGACCGCGGCGAATATTCACGGCCGACTGAAAAAGATCGAGCAATCGCGGAATTCCTACCTGCACGACTCTGCTGAGGGCGGCTCCCGCGTCCTTCACCAATTTTTTCATGTTGAAATCCATCCTCGCGCGTCTAAATTCTATACGATCGTGAATCCCTCGTCGCCAGCAGACACCGCCGCACTCACCCTTTTTCTGTCGTCGCGCTTTGTACACACTTTTACTTTGTGCGCTTTATTTTCTATCGATCACTAATATCGCGTGTCTCCGCGGAGTGGCGACATGTTGTCGCATGCGCATAGCGTGTCTGCTCTTTAAAAAAAATTTTCCTTCGTCGATATGAATTTCTATGTTCTCTTCGTATCATTAGGGAGGATTGTATAAATTTTTACTTACAATTTTAATAAAAGGCAGATAACACAATAATAATATCAAGAAATAACTTCCGAGTAAGTTAATTTCATAAATTTTGTTTTCGCTCCCCTAATAGTACAGATGCCCTGGAGACGTCCAGAGTTCGTCCTGAGAATTTCCTGCGGATGTTTCTACGTCCTCAGGACATCTCTGGGACGCCCCCAGGAGATCTTGTGCTGTATGGGTCTTTTTAATAAAAAAATTCTTCGCTGCGTCGACATAAGTTTCTACGTTATTTTTCGTATCATTCTATAAATTTTTACTAATAACTAATAACTTTTACTAATAACTAACTAATAACTATAACTTTTATTAATAACTTTAATAAAAAAAGAGCGAAATAACAGTAATAGTAATATCAAAAGAGAATTTCCGAGTAAGTTGTTTTTATAAAATGTAGATATTATCTAAGGATGGGATATTTAAAACTCCTCGAAACTGAAAGGTTTCAAGTTTTGAGCACTCAAAATTTCGTGTTGATTTTGTGATTTGAAACTTTCGAAATCTCTAAAACAGACATGCTACTTTCAAAACATAACAGTACGCTACATGTAGAAAGGGATAAGCACACTAGAGAAGAGTTCGGATGTTAACGTTTTTAAACAAAAACCGTGACTAATTTTTTTAAGTAGTTTAGTAATAATAATGAATAAATACTCTAAAAAATTCAAAATTTTATCTAATTTTAGTTTTTTCATAATTATTTTCAAAATAATTATTTAAAAATAATTATAAAATTATTTTTAAAAATATAATTATAAAATTATTTAAAAATAATTATTTTCATCTAATTCTCATAATAATCCAAACATAATATAATTATGTTTAATATTCTACTTAATTATATTTAATAAATATTTAAAAATTTATTTTCAGAAAAATTTTGTTAAATTTCTGGTTCCTCTCTCTCTCTCTTTCTCTCTCTCTGAAAGATATAAAACTTGATTTCCTAAAAAAAAATTTGTTGAGTTTTTAGTTTCTAACCAAAAATACTCCTATTGATAATTGTGCATTAAAATGTTGATAAAACTATTTTTCATTAATAAAAATAATCATATTTATCTTGTATATGTGTGTATGTTTTAAGTGTTGAAAGATGATTTTTTGTGAAAAGTGTAATTATAGTGTCCGCTTTAATTATTCTCTCTTTTTTAAATTAGTATTTCAGATTTGGATAACTACATATTTCGAAAGTTTTCGGAGTTTCGTGAATCTGATAAAATTTCAGATTTGAGTTTCGAGGATTTAAACATCAGGTTTCGACCTACATACCTAATATTACTGATACTTGTTTCACGAAGCAGAATATAAAGTGCGATTGACTGCAATGCTTTATTAAATTTTATTAACAAAATGTTATCAGAGATGTGTGTTTTCCTTTCTTCCTTCCCCTGTACCCCAGAAAACAGATTATTATGTAACATTGCTATTGATGTCGGCCACTTAATATCTATTGGACTAACGTTTAACGTCGTCATCATTATCATACAATGGTTTAATCGCGACCCGCCATAGTATTGGCTCGCATCTCTATTCGAAAAGGCGATTCTCGAGAACGTCACAGCGAAAAAAAGAATCGCACTTGTAAGAAAATACTAAAGAAACGAAAGGAAACAGGAAATACATTCAGGCAGTATAGTTTCACACGGGCGATAACTAATCAACAATAAGCAAGCAACAAGGGGAAATTCGACCGTCAGTGTTCCGTATAAAAATCATGATCCAATATCAGTATGAATATTCGCTTATGATTGCATTCAACTTCTTATTTTTAAGACCTATATAAATTTGCATAACCGCATAATACATATGTGCAAAGAAATCGACCTATCGTGTGTCCAATAAAAAATAGTCTTGAAAAATTTAGATCTGTTTTTTTTAACTGAATTGTCTGAACTAGTGCAATAAGTTACAGTGAAACACAAAATATATCTGTCTGACTCTAACTTATCAGAGGATTAACTGGTGTGCATCAGTTCAGTTTTTTATCTAAAAAAAACAGACCTATAAATAACATCCTTTTATACATATGCACGTTTCATAATCGATACATATAGAAAGATGCATACTGCATTCAAGTAAATGTCACTTGTTTCAAGTATATATTTCATAGATTTACATATCCATAATCTATAATAAAAATCTATAATAAAATAAGCTCATCAGAAACATCAAATTCATTTAAAACACATTCTGAAATGATAAATTCTCATAAATATAAACTTATGGTAAATCTGTGAATGTGTATATTTGATGATATTCTTGAAACAAAAGTAACGTTTACTCAAATGCAGTATGTGTTTTTCCGGACTCAATACAGGATTAGATAACGAGTTAATCAATTATTCATTTAAAAAGTTGATCAATTTTAATTTAAAACTAGTTATTTTAAAATTAACTTTTTCAAATTAATAAAATTAAAATATAAAATAAATAAAATTTAATTCATCAATATTAAAATTATCGTAGGTTGATTACAATACAAAATACGAAAAATAAAAAATAATCTTAGCAGAATTATTTCTTCTGAGCCAGCGTTAAATAGCGTTCTTTTTTTACGTGATTCTGAAAATTTTTTTATAAAAGACTACCTTTTCATTATTTCACGTAAATTTAATTTACGATTAAAAGGATATAATTATATAAAAGCAATTATACAAAAACAAATTAACTTTGATAAGTTAACTTAATTTCAATTTAACATTTAATTTAGTTTTTACTTATATAACTTTAATCTAAGTTAATTTTATAAACCAATAATTTTTAATTTAATTGAAAAAAAATTAACTTACCCAATCTTGATGATCGATTAATTTTTTTTGTGCATATGTACTACATGATTATGCAAGTTTATTTGTAAGACTGTTCTGTAACTGTTAACAACAATATCGTTATCGTTACATTGTCGTTGCGCAGTTTTTCTACTATATATATATATATATATATATATATATATATATATATATATATTATACTTGCGCAATGATAACGACATTATTGTTAAAGGTTACAAAAGAAATCTGGATGAACCATTAATCTTTCTCATAAGACTCATTTAAAAATTCGTACAAATATAATGGGTGAAATCTCGCTAAACATATCGTGAAAAAAGATCTATTGCAAAACTAAACTAGATATGTATTGTCGAAAGGCATTATTTTTCTCCTTGCAGCTGCTCATTGTTGACTAATCGTTATTCGCCTCTGCTGTTGTGTTATATAACAATTTTCAGTCTCGATTTAAACTAAACATCCGACTGCAAACGCACATTTTCGATCTTAACTTAATTAAGTATCTGAACACGAAGGATCCGCTGCTGACGCGCGCGGTGCCTCTTAGGAGTCAATGTGGAACGTATCGTTGAATGCTTGCAATATTCGATGACGATTTGTAAAAGAGATTGTAATTCGTGGAAAATACAATCGTGCTTATTAAATTTGGAACATTATAAACAAGCATTCGATTGTGTCTATACATAGACCGGCATGATGGTCTTAAAATCAATGAAAATATCAAGGTTATCACATGTACAATCAAAGAAAATTTAAATAAGGGAATAAAAGCCACCAATATACACAAGTCTAATAAAGTCTCAGAGAGAGAGAAAGAGATAGAGAGAGTTGTAAATACTTAATTATTATACTTTAATTAGAGTTTAATAAAAATTTAATAAAAGTTTAATAAAGGCCTAATAAAGATTTAATAAAGGCCTTTTATTTTAAGTTTAATACAAATTTAATAAAAGTCTAATAAAAGATAATAAAGGTTCAATAATGTTGTAAATTTAGTGTTGTTTTAATAGAGGGATATCAGATAAGTATAAATAGTGTTCTTGCTATTTGAAAAATAGTTTCCAGAACAAAAAAAAATTAGAAAATTAATGAAAAATAAAAACTTTTTTTCAAAATAAGTAAATTATCATTAAATAAAGAAAAACGTTCAACAGTTTGTTGCAATGCTTGCCAGTTTTCAGCATTTTTGTGCAGATTTGACCAAATATTAAGACTTCTGGATACTCGCATAAGCTGTCTTTATTTGATGACGTCAGAAGCGAGAAACTACATGCTCATGATTTTTACGTTACACATTGAAATAAAAAAAAATATATATATATCTAAAACAACACTTGTAATCGATTTAGCAAATTTGTGAAATACTTTAAACACTTTTTTTTATTGTTAAAATCAGTAAATAGCTGTAAAATTAACGTGTAACTTAGGTTTTAACTAGACTTTTTTATCATTTCTATTACGTTAATTTTATAGCTATTTATTGATTGTAATAGCAAAAAGTACTCAAAATATTTGACAAATTTGCTGAATCGATTCTAAGTGACGTTGTATGGATTTATCTTTTTATTTTAATGTATAACGTAAGAATCGCGAACATACGATTTCTTGTTTCTGACGTCATCAAACAAGGACAGTTGACGCGAGTACTTAAGAGCCTTAAGGTGTATAAAAATTTATTATTTATCAATTATTATTTATTTTTGTATCACCATATCTTAATATTTGATAAAATCTGCGCAAAAGTGCTGGCTGCTGAAAATTTTATTCTAATCTGAAAACTACTCTATTGTATATAAATAGCGAGATCAATCAAAACATTTTTATTTTTAGAGATATTTTATGCCGTATTCTCTTAATGTTAATCAAACGTAGAACATTGAAAAGTATTCTTCAAGTGTCGATCAAATTATTATTTACTACTAGCATTCGTACGTTCTTAATAAAAAATTAATTCTTTACGATAGAAACATTTCGTTGACTCTTAAAAAATATTGTTTAATGCTGGATTTGACTTCCGGAGTTTCTTTTTAGAGCCTATTTTTATGGATGTTTCTAATATATACTTCAGTTCTCTGCATCATGCAAAAGAGCGATCTGATGTTGTACTGTTCAATGTTTAACGTTTCATTAAATTATAATTAAATATTTGCAATTGTTATCTCCTGTTAAATTAATGAAATCTCGTAAAATCTCGTTATCTACTGTTAAATTAATGAAATCTCATAAAATCTCGTTATCTACTGTTAAATTAATGAAATCTCGTAAAATCTCGTAAAATTAATGAAATATTCATTTGCGTTGGCTCTTATTGACTCTTATTGATTCTTTCTTAAGATTTAAATTTAAAATCACTGAAATTTTTTAATCGCACACTTATGTTCACATATTCATGCACCATAATTATTGATATTATTTAAGGAAGCAGCAACAATATTTCAAATATTATCTAGACATTTTACTATTACTTTATATAACGTAAAACATAAAATTATATATAAAAAGAAGTAATGTACGAGATATTGTCGCTATTTTGTTAAATAATCAACATTTATTATGCACAAATATGTAGACAATAAAAAAATTCAAATGATCCTAGGCTTGTGGCCCAAATGTTCAGGCTATCATGTTGGTCTATGTACACGATTTTTTTAATGTAGCATAATATGCATAGGGATACCGTTTCCCCTCTCCTACGATAACGTCCTCTCAACTATCGTCAAGTGAGTTGATTCTCTCTTGTGTAAAATCTGCTACCACTGTTTTCGTGTTTTGACTGTCTCAAACATCTTTATGATAAAAATGCTTAATATTACCGTGTATCATAACATTAATGCTAACAATAGTGAGATAATATTATTGATGAAAGACAACGACGATGCTGGATATCGATGATGACGATTACGATCATTTCATAATCGTCTCTACGTTTGTACTGGCATTCTTCTTATTTTTCGAATTCGTCTTTGCTCTGTTAAAACGAGAGATGTAACGTTAAGTCGAATACTTTCCATCCACGTTTCAACATATTCACGCTAATTCTCATACTTTGCCAAACTACATTGCTTTATCGTCAGATCGTTCGTTATCAAGGCATTTTTTATTTCAATTCATTATTAGCACATTGGCCAATCAGCATTAGATGTCAATGCGATCTGCCAATCGCCGAAAGCTTCCGAGCACGTGCTCGAGCTTCAGTGCGAATACTCGTGTACTCGAACCACAAGACATTAGGAATCAGTGTTGTGTCGCGCAACAACAGGTACTCTGATATTCGCCTGAAAAGAAAGAAAATTAAATTTCACAGATAGATAATAGAGAATTAGATATATAACTAAATAATTAGATACAGATGGATAGATAATTTCCATCCTAAAGATGGAAAGATCATTGTTATCATTACAATTGTTTCAAACATTAAATATTTTACTGCTTCTGTGTAATTCAACCAAAGTAAAAACAATCACGGCTTCTGGGTACTCGCATCGGCTGTTTTTATTTGATGACGTCAGAAGCGAGAAATCGCATGCCCATAATTTTTGTGTACGTTGAAATAAAAAAATATATCCATAAAATAATACTTGTAGTCGATTTAGCAAATTTATAAAATACTCTATACACTCTTCTTTTACTGTTAACCCCTTCAGACCTGATTTTTTTTTATAAAAAAAAAAGAAATGTCAAGAAATGTCATGTATTTCGAAAATAATCCGATAAATGGAAGTTATATATCTTAGTAATAAAATATACATACAAAATATACAAAACAAAAGTGTATACATGGTTGCTGTCACAGATTCAATATTTTAATTCAGATATTGACGTAGTAAATTCGTGTACATTATAATGTGTGTGGGGTTTGAAGGAGTTAAAATCAATAAATAATTGTAAAATTAGTGACAGATTTTAATTAAACTTTTCTCATCATTTCTGTTAATTTTATGACTGTTTATTGAATGTGACAAAAAAAAGTGTTCGACATTTTGCAAATTTGCTAAATTGACTTCAAATGTCTTCATATTTTTTTTCATTTTAATGTATAACACAAGAATCGTGAGCATGCGATTTCTCACTTTTAACATCATCAAAGGGAGCCTATGTAAGTCCTCAGAAACTTTAAGGCTCCTAGTTACTCGTCGCAGTTCTATGGAATCGTGATGTTAGAAGCAAAGAAATAATACAAAATTCTTGCGTTATATTTTCAAATAAAAAAACATTTCAATAAAAGCACACTTCAGATCGCTTGAGTATATTTTTAGAATTTCTGAAAACTATTCTTTTCTTGATAATCAATAAATACTTGTAAAGTGAACGTGACAAAATCATAATAAAAGGCAGGTTAAAGAGAAAGGTCACGTTAATTTTACGGTTATTTATCGATTGTCAAAGAAAAAGTTTTTGCCTTTACAAATATGCTCAAGTGATCAAAAATGTTCTTTCATACAAATAACTTTTTATTTGGAGATTGCAAGAATTTTGAACATGCATTTTCTTATTTCTGACGTCATCAATTTAGAGTTTTGCAATGAGACTAGCAGTGCAGTTCTATAACTCGTTAACTGTCGTTAATATTACGCAGATATATACTGCAATTCTATACAAAATCGTAAAACCCCTAACTTGTTTTCGTAAGACTCGTAAGAACGAGTAGATCTACAATTCTATGCGGACCGTATGTCATATGATAACTCGTAAATATCTACGTTTTTTTTTTTGTTTTTTTCGTAAGCTACGACTTTACGATTTTATGGTTTACTACTAATGATATTATTGTTAACAGTTAACGAGTTACAAAATCACAGCCCAGTTGGTCAATTCTGTAACTTTTAACAATATCATTATTATTGAACGTTGTCGCATAACTATTGTTATATTTATATTTATTATATGTTATATTTACGCGACGACGGCACATAACGCTTGCTTAAAGCCTCAAACATACAGAAAAACTCAAGCAATAAGAAAATTAATCAATCACAATCGGTTATTCTTCAACCATAAAAAAAATCGTCAACTGTGGTTCATCAATTCGCTAGCTACTTAAGTTTTACTGCTTATGTTTTTTCTATATGTTCTCGACCTTATAACTAGAGATAGGTCGAAATCTGATTTTTAAGTCCTCGAAATTGAAATCCGAAATTTTGTCAGGTCTCGAAACTCTCGAAACTTAAAACTATCCGAGCCTGAAATGCTAATAAAAAAAGAAAGAGTAAATGTGCATAAAACGGATTCCTGTATAATTACACAACTTAAAAAATCAATCTTTCAACACTTAAAATAAATAAACATGATTATCTTTATTAACGAGAAACAATTTTTCCAACATTTTAATGCACAATTATCAAAAAGAATATTTTTAGTCAAGAACTACAAACTCAACAAAATTTTTTTCAGAAAATCAATTTTTTAAATCTTTAATACAGAAACTAAACTAAGTAAATTCAACCAAATTTTTCTGAAAATCAAGTTTTAAATATTTATTAGACATAATTAATTAGAGTATTAATTATATAGATATAATTATATAATAATATTAGAGTATTAATTAAACCTAATCAGATAAAATATTTATTAAACATAATTTGATAGAATATTAAACATAATTATATGATTATTATTAGATGAAAATAATTATTCTTTAATATGTGGGGAAAAAACTAAAACTAGATAAAATTTTAAATTTTTTAGAATTTTTATCTATTATCACTATTGAACTACTTAAAAAATTTAATCAAAGTTTTTGTTTCAAAATACCCGATAATATCCGAACTCTTTCCAGATCTAGTCTGCTATCCGGGCCTATTCTAGTGCGCTATCCTCTCCATATGCTGTAGCGTGCTGTTACTGGCGCCCCGGAACTGGCATCTCAAGTTACATTCAGCGGAATAAGCAGCTCAGTCAGCGCTTAGTGATTATCGTTTGTGATTGGAGCATTCTTTTAGATTCTTCATAGACCCAAAAACAGGAGCGATAATCATTAAGTACTCTCTGAGCTATTCTTCCCGCTGAATGTAATCTTTGTCACAGGTTTCGAGAGTTTTGAATCATAAAAATAGCGCGAAATTTCGAGTTCTCGAAACTTGAAACATTTCAGAGTTTCGAGGGGTTTCGAAGTTTCGAGTATCCCATTTCTGGTTATAATACAAATGTTAAGAAATTATAGCTCTGAAAGCTTAGAATGCGTTTGGAGAACACGCTAACATGCTGCAAACACAAACGCTCTGCGAATTCTGTTGGTAAAACTAATAAGACAATAGTGAATGCAAGCTCTACAGCGCACAGCATTAGTACAGCGTTATAATATTTATTAGCAACTTATAACAAACAGAAGACATTATTGAAAATTATTATCATTATTATTATTGAAAATTATAGAAAAATATACAAAATGAAAAAATGTATTCAGTATAAAAAAGTATGAGCATGTATTCCCAGGTAGAATGGAAAATAACGATGAAGTTAAAATAACGAAAAAATGATTAAAACTCACTTTTCTTAATCATAAGAAAATTCATCATTCAATAATTTTCTCATCATTTGGACATTGTTATAATTTTCTGTTCTGCTCTTTACAAAGTCATAGTTAAGTCAAAGTCAAATTATGGCAAACCCAACAAACTAATTTGTTAACAAAACTAACAATGTATTTTAAAAAATCAAGAAAAAGAGAGAAGGGCCTATAAATGTCAATATACAGATGTATTAATGTAATCAAACTAACTGAAACTATTAATGTTAGCGTAAGTCTTTTCGATATATAAAGAAATATTTTATATTTTCAAAAAATATAAAACCGCTATATAATTACTATTATTAATAGCGTTCAAAGAACTCACTAACATTGCCAATGCACTATTTAAGAAATAGCGTTCGTAGCACAAAGTTATGATCTCTCTTAATGACATAATGATAATATTTGTAGCATTACTAGCTCTCTGAACAGTCTTCATACTAAATAGCGCTAATAACATACTCCCCAAATGCAACTTTAGTGACAGTCATTCGCTAATAATTATGCACAATAATCCCAGATAGCCAAACCTGCGCGAACAGATTTCGAGCAGAGCTTGCTATCAACTTTTGATGGCAAATAGATAATAAATTTGATGTAGGATTTGTTATATCAAATCTTGCTGCCAAATTGCCGCCAGATATGCGGCAGAACTTGTTGTCGGGTAATTGCTGCAGATTTGCAGCAAAAACCGCGCAGAGCTTGTAACGATTTGACGGCAAATTGGCGGCAGAAACCGCGCAAATCTTGCTGCGCTGCAAGCTTTGCGCGGTTTTTGCTGCAAATTTGGCACCAATTGTCCAACAGCAAGATCTGTTGTCAAAACCGTAGCCAAATGTAGACACAGATGACTATAGTTTTGCTGTAGGTTTTTGATCAAATTTGCTGCCAATCTGCGCGCAGTCTGCGCTCAATTTGCTTACTGGGATGTTACTTAATATCGAGAAAATAGAATTCTTTAATTGTACAAAATATATGCCGGATATTTTTCGGGATGTTCTAAATGCGAAGCAATTAACTACAAAAGTGAACCAATCATATATTCTGAATGCATAATTTTTTAAATGACAATATCCTCTGCCTTTTTGTTTCCTCAAATCTTAACTGAAAACTATTGCTATAGAATAATAGTTTGCGAAGAATATTGCCTCAGTTAAGGGGATGCTGGAGTCGATGACGAACTCGAACAATATCGATAATGTAGAAACGATATAATGTAATCGTCACTAACATAATTACGCTATCCTTTTCATATTTCTTGTATATACAGAACTTACATGAATTGTGTTGCTTTGTTTTACCATATTCAACGGAAAACCTAACTATATATGTGTAGAAATCTTTTTGCAAACTTTTTCGATATTTTTAATCTTCCAAATGCAAATGCAAAGGTACAGCAATGTTCTTCAAAATTTTTCTGTTTGAAGCATCCACACTTTCAGTATATATAAGCTGCGGAATTTTTGAATTAGATAAATATTACGCTGACAGCTTAAGATTTTACATTAAAAACTTTTTGTTCGTTTTCGTCACATATCGAACAATGCTCCTATTTATTTTTGCACGTACTTTCATTGTGTAAAAGCATTTGTAATTCTGCGTAACCAATACGACGTAAACTTTACAGAAAAATGTCAGTGTTCTGTCGGTAAAGTTTTCAGCGTCAGCATCCCCTTAAGGCTCTGCTATCTCGCCGCAGAAAATCTGAATTGACGGTGGCGCCTAGTAGTGTCGAAAACACGAAATGCCGTGTCAGCGTAGCTGATTGGCTAACACTAGGCCTGGCTAGGCCTCGCTTGACACCTCGGAAAAATAGTTGCGTTTTATCATGTTATCAGTTTTTCCATGAACTGTGTATATTATCGTAATCCTCACAGCCGTAAAATGTGCAGCAAACTCTGTGATACTGGTGATACATTGTGAAAATCGAGAAATTAAATATGTTCATACATGCCGATATTTCAGCTGTCAAATCACTGTGACAGCCGAAAAATGTATCATTATTTCAGGAATTATTTTACGATGCTACGTGATATATCAGCCAAATATCTGAGTTTGCTGTTTCAGGATTCAGGATTAGGAAAATATTTGATTTTTCAGGGAAAAGTAAAAAATAAAGTAATAAAACGCAACTATTTTTCGGTATGTCATTTCTCGCTTCTGACGTCATCAAACCAATATCGCTGCCCTAGAAATAGCAGAGCCTTAAGAATCGAACCTGGGCTTTCCAAACTCACTGAGAGTTGAGTGTTGTACCAATTTATTATTCGTGAGAGTGTTGTACTAATCATTATTATTATTATTTGTTACTCACCATGAAACTATTATGGGGAAAAACGGCGTCAGAACTGTATGCATGAATGCAAACCATACTATTCCAATCGCAATGCCAATTAATGCACCCCAAACTACTTGAGTATTGGAGTGGTACAGTAAATACACTCTGCTGTAAGTTACTAACACAGCTGTGATAATGCATCCTACTACTACTATTGTCCGCCAAAATCTCTCTGCTATCGTACAGTTGTAATTTAACCTAAAATATGATATTTCCTGAGCTATTAATACAATAAAAATACAAAAAATAACAAGACATGATTTGTGTTTACCTAATGTATACAAAAAGTGACACGTATGCAGCAAAAAACCACATAAATTGTGCGTGTGTAGATGGCATACCATATTCAGTGTACAGGCTATCTCTCTTAATCGGCCTTGCTTGGCAGATTGTGTGTTTCAATATCAAATTTAAACAATCATTGAAAAGAACTCCGCTAAAAAATACAATCTGCAACAAAAAAAGATAATTATACATTTGTAAATATATTCGTATTTTTTTCATATAAATATATGCCCAATTTGACCTTGTTTCTAAGTTATAATGTTGTTTTATAAAAGTTTTTATTCATTTATTCTCATAGACAATTTGTGACCACCTTGAATCTTAACAGAAGCATATAAATATCTTATCATTGGTCTTTTTGATATTTTCATATATCTATATGATAATCGAATCTACTCAAAAGCTTTCTTCAATTCAATAATAAAATATTTTAATCCCTTTTTATACAATAAATACAAAACTTCTTACATAGGAAAAAGTCTAACAGATATAGATATTTTTATTAACAGATTAAACAATTCATAAAAAATTATGAAGGTGTTTAAAAAAGTTAAAACCAAGTAGTTAAAACCATAAGTAAAATATTCAATATTATTTATAAACAAATGGAATTAGGGAAACTTGCTATAACTCAAAAACAAGACTAAATTGGGCATATGTTATATAGAATCTGGCATTTAAATTGAGATATTTTAGAAATATAAAAAATCAAACAAAATTTTTAAAAATGTTCCAGACAAAAATTGTAGAGTTTCAAGGGGGACATATAATAGTGCTATTGACTTGAGTTTGTAGTGAATGCTCTAAAAGTTTTTCAAGATCAGTTTAAACTTTTTAAGTGGAATCATGTGGTTTCTTTAACATAAAACAATCTCTAGACTTATACTGCATATAAAAATACTGAGATGAATGAAATCATCAAAAAGTGAATACTTTCCAAGATATTTTAATTAAAATTAAAGACTTTGATGCATCTACTAAAGTCAAAAGGCAATAGCATTATTATATACTTCTCTTGAAACTCTGTAACTTTTGTTTCGAATATCTCTTTTTATTTTGTCCTACTTTTTATATATTTAGGAATCTCAATTTAAATGCCACACTCTTATATAGTTGGTTGCAAAACAGTTTAGACATAATGAAGTTGGGAAATTATCAAACTGTTAAAATTAAAAGTCCTTACCAATAAGCTTATGCAGTAATAATACAATAAATAATAATAATGTAATAATAGCAGAAGCCTATTAGTAAATTTTTACTGTTTATTAACATCCTGAATTTATTGTGTCATTGTATTTTACAACTAAATACTTTTTTATTGTTTTTATATGATATATCCATATAATAGGTCCTTCTATACTATATATTTATGCTATATATTATATAAAGTATTACTTATCTACTTACAGTATGTAAATCTCTTCTAAATAATATTAATGCAAGAAAGCCAGCTATAATAGCAAAGGGTACTAGACTTATTACAGCCAAGAACTTTCCAAAGAGATCCCCTGAAAATTTATGTATATTATTAGATATATAAAGCAAACAAATCTTATCTCTATATCTTTTAACTACTTCAGATATATAAAAGATTTTTTTTAAATATTAAATAAAATATATCAATGTAGTTCACAAATGTATTAAGTGACTATTCTTAGAAATAGACATAACATGATCTACATTTTTTGTTACAAAATTATAAACATTCAAAGCTTCCTTAAAAGTCTTATTGTTGATACTCAACACATCTGTGATTTAGTGCATTGATAACTATACAATAAGACAGACTATATTTTCTCTGTTCTTAAACACATTTATAAACTAATGCATCAATATGAAATTTTATTGTAATATAACACACTGTAGAACTGAATGAATGAGTAAAATGAAACATATGTTTGCACAAAAAATTTTTTGCTCACAATAATCTAAAATGAAACATTGCTAAATCATTTATCAAACTTTATTATATTGATATCAATTTGTACAAGTATGTTTTACTCATGATTACGTTTTATTATTGTAACAACTGGCTGTAGATCACGACAGCCTGGTTGACCATATGAGGAGCAGCAGGTGTGTGCATGTAAATCAACAAAACAATAAACAGCATACTAATGTTGTTCGCCAATCGACGAACAATAAGCCTTTGAGAGCTCGACTTCGCACTTGTCGGCAATATCTTCGAACCGACCACATTTTCGGATCACTTGCTATTACGGAAGAGACGCGAAATACACTGACCTTGCGGATATTCCACCAATGTCAGAGATAACGGAACCCATTCGAGCTTATCGGCAGCATGTGCGAAATGCGACTTGATCATGTCCAGCGACTCGTTCAACGACGATGCCATGTTACCGTAATCCTTGAAGTGGCATGTCGCGAATGGACAACGAGGTGTATGTGTGTACTGCAACCACGGCTACACCAACTCGATTGCAATTACCACTTACTGCTGACGGCACCGACCGGGTTTCTTCTTCCTCCTCCTCCTTCTTTTTCTATTGTTATATTTATCCCTTCTCCAGAATATAGGATATTGCTTTCGCGTCTCCTTCTTGTTCCTTTCTTCTATTTCAATTTCCGTGAAAATTTACAAGAAACCATCACAGCCGAAATTACAATAAGTCGAATCGTTGACCTAAACTATCCTATATCCATCACATGCACGAACCGCGCTTTCTCCACGCCGCAATCATGTTAACCGCTAATCGCGACAAGGACTGCGTTCCAAAACTCTACTCGATGGGCAGAGTAATTTAATTGTCCAATCATGATAAAGAAATCCTAGTTATCTTTGCTCTTATTGGTTAATTAAATGCTACTCTACCTGTCAAGTAGAGTTTTGGAACGCAGCCAAGACAGGGGCTGCGTTCCGTTTCACGCATATGCGCGCATTTATCTATAGTTCATGTAACATATATTGTAGGCAATGCGCGCATAATGCGTGAAACGGAACGCAACCAGGATCACGGACTAAGGGCTATCGCACACAAATTGACATAACTGCATATGCATAGCATAAGACCGTATGTACCAATGAGCATCGAGTATAAAGTCGCCATATTGGTGTTCGATGCTTAATATTCGATGCTCATTGGTCCATACGATCTTATGCTATGCATATGCAGTTATGTCAATTTGTGTGCGATAGCCCTTAAGGTGCGATTTCACGCAGCGAATAAAAGCTGGCGTTTCACCCCACTCCATCAATTTTCACCGAAATGGCGAATGTAGCGAATAAACGCTCAAAGTTCGACACACAGTCCAACTTTTAACGAATAATAGCTGGTGTTTACCACCACTCCATTAATTATCGCTAAAAAGACGAATAAAGCAGATAAACGCTCAAAGTTCAACACAGTTCAACTTCTAGCGATTTAAC